CGATATCCAAGTCTCACGATACGATATCGTCACGGTATGAAACCTCACGGTACGATATTTATTGCAATATCTTGGGAAACCTCACGATATGGTGGGGAGGCTCACGATTTGGGCTGTAACAATGTCCAAATCACTTGGGACAATATTTTCATGATATACATGTCATGGAACGATGTTTATTGCGATATTTTGTGGAGGCTAAACAGCTAAAACTGTTAATATACTACTTTTTTCTCTTAAAATGCCTTGACAAGACTTAATCCAAAGACTTAAAAGTGCTTAGAACTGTTATTTCTTCATGTAGTCTGCACTGAAATGGAGCAAAGGATCATGGTCTATGTAGTTCCCTCTCTCTTTTTTTAACTACTGCTGCATCATAACTCTTAATTTAAGCAAAGTGACTTGTAATTCGATATATTGTGATGGTCCATGATATAACTGTGAGAACTTTGACGATACGACATTCGGTTATTGTTACGTCCCTAGTCAGTCGTAAGATTTAGTTTCTATAATCATATTTATTGTTTACATGTTGTTCAGCAATATATTTTACTCCAAAATGTGTTATCGTGACAAGCCTCGGTGCACTATATAACATGTAACATACATTCTTACTGTAAGCAAGCTCCAGAGACCTGACCTGTAACTTGGCCTGGTAGTGTCCAATACCTGTAGGTGTCTCTATGGCGTTATAAAAGTTTAATGCCATGCTGTAGATCATTTCAAACAAGGCTATAAAATCACCATGGAGACAAGCAGGTCCCCCAGCAGAAAAGTTACATAGTAAAGCTTGTAATTAAAAATCTCTCTCAGTTAGAAATGAAATAACCAGTGTGTAACTTACTATAGTGTAACTTTTTGGCAGGGGCTCCACTACTGCTTGTCTCTATGAAAATGTTATTCCTTTGCCTGGAATGTCCCACAGTATGGCATTACACATGTTTATGCCATGAATGTGATTTGTGGAAACCAGATATGGGAGCAGTGACTGTACTTACTACTTACTATAGCAGTAGGCACAGTCAAAGAAGTAGCAGTACCAACACAGTTGTAGTCATTGTCAGGGGCTGTACTTACAGACTACAGCAGTACACAAATAATCAAAGCAGAAGTAGTGCCAGTACAGTAGCAGTTATTCTCGGGACTATGTACAAATGCCAAAAATACACCACTTAAGTAATCAAATTTTAAGGTAAGAACACTTAAAGTTCATTACTGTTAACTTGCGGTGTACTCATCGATTTAAACCAAGCGAGGGAAGCAGCAAACACAACTTCAAAGCATCTAACTTTTCAGGGGGAAGTAATTTGACGCCCGAGGAAGATGAGACAGAAGTTTGGATGAGTAGTGAGTGAAGAAGGCAGTGCCCGGGGAGTAAAAACAGTAGGGCGCTATTTTAACACATGCCTTCAAAACTTGAGACAATGATCAATAAATGACAACTTTCCGAGATATATAGTCCTGAATTATATCTCCTGTGTACGCGCTGGAGGTCCTGGATGAGTCTGTAAGCGGTTGGCAGGTGTGAAGCCCTAACTCGCCTCTCTCAGGGTAGACTTATCAAACTTAGAGAGAGCTGGGCAGATGATGATGATGCACGATGTGGGGCCACTGGCAGCTTTACGGTCCGTGTGCTGTTCCAAAAGGCTAGGGCATTACTCATTCACTACACAGGCATGCAAAAGTCCAGTATGTGCAGGGGAGGACTCTATTAGAAACAAGAGAAGGCATCTTTGGTCAATTAGTGGATAAGAGAGTGTAATGAGGATGGCCACAAATATGCACTATGCAACATACATTGAGACGTATTCATGCAGAAAAAAATATATATATCTGTAATGATGTGCCATCATGTAAAGGTCCATTGTGTAACTTTTCTGGTGGAGGGTCCCCCAAATGTTTTTTCTACATAGAGATATTATTGCTTTGCCTGTAATGTTTCACAGTATAGTATTAAACCTTAGTGCCTTAACCTAGTGCCTCCGCTCAATTTCATTTCTCTCCAGTGACTAGGTCAGGAATCAGAATACACTAGGCAGTTCACCAAAACCGTGGAAGTGGAACCGTGGAAGTTTGGGCACCAGCCAATCAGTGAAGAGCCATACATTCAGTGTTGGCAACGATTCCCGAGATCAAGGATTTAAAGCCAGAACAAAACGAATGTTTGGTGAATTTTATCAAGGGGAAAGACGTTATTGCCCTTCACCCTACGTGATTTTGGAAAAGCTTAATATACCAGTCAGCCCCATTAGCGGCGCATTACATATGTCACAACCAAATAGCAGCGATTGGTTAAATAATAAAAAATACCTGCCTACCGTCAAGCGAACAATTCCTAATGTCAGACGGTTTCTACGAAGTGAAACCAGCTGATTAATCAGGCTAATGAAACCTTTCTATCTTCAGGGAAACCAAACCAGACCAAGATCTGTGGAGAGGCAGGCTATGGATGTAATAATAACTGAGATATCATGATATCGTATCATCAATAGTCTGACAATAATATCAGAGGTCATCACAATATATCAAATTACAAGTCTCTTTGCTTAATTAAAAGTTATAGTGATTTTAATGCCCTTCTTATTCTGTGAAGCACTTTGAATTACTTAGTATATGAACTGTGCTATACAAAGAAACTTGTCTTTCTTTGGTGCCGCAATAGCAGAGGGAATAAAAGAGGGAACTACATAGACCATGATCCTTTGGTGTTGTCAGACTACATGAAGACATAACTGTTATTAAGCACTTTTTCAAATCTTACATCTTCTTATTGTAACAGCACCAAAAGGTTTTCAAGGCTTTTCCCAGGTTTTCAAAAGGAAAAAGTAGCATATTCACAATTTGCCTCCACAAAATATTGCAATATATATCGAAGCGTAAGATGCACACTGAGAAAATATTGTGTTGAGGAATTTTAATATCGCTACATCCCTAAAGGAAAGCCCACTCACAGTCAGAATTAGGGCTGGGTATCATTCAGAAGTTGCCGATACGATACATATCTCGATACATAGGCCACGATACAGTACATATTACGTTACAGTGAACTTTCGATTCAATTCAATATATTTCAAATCGATTTGATATGGTTCAATAAAAAATAAAGGCTTAAATCATGTCTGTGATAATAAATGTCTTTGATAAACCACTTCTTGTGCAAAGAGAATAAGAAACACAAACATTTTAATTATCAAAACAGTGAAAATGTTAAGTGTGTCACATTAACGAGTTTCCTTCCTCTAAACAAACAACAAAACTGTAGTTCTGTAACAAAATACTTTAGTAAAATATATCAAAAAATACTCTTGGTGATATATCAATACAGCAGCCCACGATATCGATACTGTATCATCACATTAAACGATATGATATATCGATATTTCAATATTTTTGCACACCCCTAGTCAGAATGCCTGTTTTTCTAGGTATTTTTGAGCCATAAAACCATCTGTAATTGAATATATGAAAGATCGAGCTGTTTAATGTCATGCTATGGAACATTCCAAGCAGAACAATGACATATCCATGGAAACAAAGGCGGGGACGTTACTCATTCACTATACAGACATGCAAAAGTCCAGTGTGCAGGAGAGGGCTCTATTAGAGACAAGAGAAGGCATCTTTGGTCAGTCAGTGGATAAGACGGTGTAACGTAAATGGCCACTCAGTAGTTTCACTCGTGTTGGCTCAGTGCCAGTCTTAATGGGGTATATGAAAAACAAACCAATGAAGCAAAAAGCATGTTGCAATACTGTAATTATAGCATTGTTTCTTTGGAACTTTCTACAGCACACAGAGCAGACTTGAAGCAATCACAAAAATGGATCAGACAAAAAAGTACTTGCTAATTGGAAAATGTACCACTTGGACTATTCATCTGCTGATTTTTTGGGAAAGAAAGGGCAAGAAGACTTTGTTAAAAAAAAAAAAAGCTCAAAGTACTCGGAAATTTGGTTATTTCTTGCATCTTACCCTGCATCCTGCATGCATTATGAAAAATTGTCTACCCATAAGGCTAAAGAAAGCTGCTATTTCTGCTCGAATTACCATTACCTGCTTTCTGTTGAGAGCTCCAAAACAGTATGCACTACCAAGACTGATTCCTGCTGAAAAATATTATTTTTTTCTACTATACTATACTATATTTTGCCATCATTTAAAGGTGCACTGTGTAACGTTTCTGGTGGAGGGTCCGTCAAATGTTTTTTTCTCCATACAGATATTATAGTTTCAAAGTGTGGCATTAAACCTTTCTATCTTCATGGAGACAGACCAGATCTGTGGAGAGGCAAGCCCACTCACAGTCAGAATGTCTGTTTTTTCTCGATGAGCTATAAAACCACCTGTAATTGAATGCATGTAAGGTAGAGCTGTTTCATGACATTCTGTGGAACATTCTGGGCAGAACAATGACATATCCATAGAAACAAGGTGACGGGACCCTCCACCAGAAAAATTACACAATGCACCTTTTACTGATAACTACAATGACTTCCTTGCCCCCTTAAAAACAATAATAAATGTTAACCGTAGCCTTCCCTGAACTTCTTTCATCTCAGTGCATCCAAACACTTCCTAGAAAACATCAAATATCCCATGTGGATTAAAATCACCTTCCATATAGAGTTCCCCCGTCTCCTCCACGCTGGATGAGCACAGCATAGAGAGGAGTCGATATGACGCCGAGGCAAATCCTTCTACGTACATTTATCTTTCAGACAGAGGAACACATGGATTGATTTTTTACGTTATTTCTTCCTATTGGAGATTCCGCTTCTCCTGTGTGGTGCATGCATTTTTTGCACTAACAGCGTGCGCTTCCACAGCTCTCGGGCTGCAGAGCAGAGTTAAAATTCAGTGCAAGTATAAGAGAAGACAGCTCTTGCTTTCGGGTGCCAAAAGAGGAAGCCCACGCAAACTGATCCAAAGGTGCATAATTAAAACAAATGGCGTTACCAGGAAAACTTTAACCTTTCAGTAAGTAAAGATTTGACACTTACCACCCCGGTGTCCAGCTGCTCCGAGCTCTGAGAGGGAGCCGCTCCGGTCAGGGGTAAAAGCAACCACAACACCGGCAAAACGAGCAGCATCTCCGGGCGCATATTCCTCAAACAAGTGCGGAGAGACAGCGAAACCATGGTGCCCTTATGTCAGGTTGGTCCCGCAGGGCTCACAAATCAAGCCCCAAAGCAGCAGCATCCACGGGGTAAATCTGAACGCACGCTCCGGGTAAAAAAAAAAATAAAAATAAAAATAAATAAATAAGAAAAAGTCTACCTCACTGTGGAGCGCAGCCACATAAAACACATGAACACAAGCAGAGCGCAGACGGGGACGGCGGGTTAGTTTGAACAAAGTGCGTCTCGAAGTGTCGCGCAGTGGCACAGCGGCGCGTAAAAGTGGATAGAAGTTCCTGTCAGGTAAATCCACAGAGAAGAAGCTCCTCTCAGCAGCCGCTTCTCCAGTGAAGAGGCAGCGTGCGGCGCCAAAGCAGCAACGACAGCCAATATCAAGCTACACAGAAAGAGGAAAGACGAATCCGGGGGGTGGATTTCAAAATAAAAGCTCAATGTTGGAAAAAGGATCAAAACGGGGCTTCAAAATCAAATTCATGGTTGATAAAATATGAAGCAAAACAAAATATGACGTTTGCAGAAGACTTCAACTGACTTTTTTTTTTTTTTTTCTAATTACAATTCTTAAGCCTATCATTTGATTTAGACTTATAACATACCTGGTTATTAGATTATTAGGCTTAGTTAGTCAATCTATTCTAATTTGAAGACTAGTCAGAAATCACGCAATGATATTACAGTTCTAGGCCAATTTTAGTCATGAGCAGGTCTAATTTAACTTATAATCAAGATACATAGTACTAGTCTATAGCACAGTGGATTTAAGTAGGGTTTTGTTCCACTTTTTATTATTATTTTTCTTTTGCAGTGATAAGTTTAATGTGTTGCGTTCCAATCATGCAGCAAATCCTCATGTCTTCAGTCACCTTCTTTCACACTTTTTCTTTATATTTATAATAACACTGTCATTAAAGAAACTGTTTGAAAGTAAACTAATGTGTCCTTTATAAAACTGCACATGGCTAAGGTGGTCTCATAATGTCATTACCCTAAAGTGAAATTTACCCAGTCTTTCAATGGTAGGGCAACTTGTCAGAAATAGTACTCTTCTCCAAATCTGAACCACAATTTTGAATTAATGAACACTGTAATTTACTGCTGAAGCTCGGTTCTTTTATTTTGAAATTATGTTTATGTTATATCCTATGCCATGTTTGCAGATTTCTGTAGCATTGACTCTCAACCGCTGTGGTAGAATTTACAGTAGTCTTCAGAAGGCTTCCACTGAATGTGATCGACCTTTCATCATTATTCATCACAGCTATGTAATCTCCCAAAGCAGGTAATTAAACCGTGTCCACCGCCCAGAGTGACGCACTGCGCTGCAAATGTGTCGTATCACATTTATAATGAACAAAGTGACGGCCCATACAATCAGCCATGCCTGCTTTATGGGATTCAGACACGTACAAAAGAATCTCTTAAGTCATTACCCGTAATTCAGTTTTCTTTTTTTTTTTTTTTTTTTTTTTTTTTTTCAGAGACATTTATTTATTTATATATTTAGGCCTTCAGATAGATGGATAAATAATCAATAATTGTTAAAAAAAAAAAAAAAAAAAAAAAAAAAAAAAAAAAGTAAGCCAAAGTAATACATAATGATGCATTTTTTTAAATTTTATTTCTGTATTAATATTTAGAACCAAATTTCATTCCTAGGATGAAGGGGAAAGTATACAGCTCTCAACTGTATAAACAATTACCATTACTCTTAAAAGTGCACCACTTCATGTAGCCTTTCTTTTCTTGTTTCCGTAGTAATTGTTTTGCTTTGTCTGGAATGTACAGCAGTATGGCTTTGAACTGAAGGTGACAAGTCCAACTTACTCTTCAGATCTGTGGAGAGGTGGACCCAACTGAATTATTGTAAGCAATAAAGCATCTATAAGTGAATGCATGCCTATTGATACTTTTAACTCCATACTGTAGAACACGTCAGGCACATCAAGACATTTCCATGGAGACGAGCAGGTGATAGACCCCCACCAGAAATATTACATAATGCACCTTTAAGAATGACACTTTTAATCCTCGTGACCTGCGCATGACCCTTGTCTAACACACAGCTGTCTCTCAGGACTGCAGAAAAATACATCAAAGTGACGAGCTTTAAAACAATTGGAAGCACTTCAAGGGACGCTGTAGCGAACTCCGCTACATCAAGGTGAAAGACGTGACCATAACTAAAATCTTTGTACATACTCAGTACCACACACGCACAGGCACACTCACATACACACACATCGGCGTCTGACATTTTCTTTGTCATCTTTGATTGACAGTGTGTTTAACCTCGTTGCACTATTGCTAATGAGTCAGCGCTCTCCTTGGTGGTACCACAGCGTCTGACGCAGCCAACAGAAGGGCCTAATGAAAGCATAGGCATGATCGGCCACACACTCAAATTACATTGATCAGGCAGATAGGACATTTACATATTAAACAGAGTCATAAGCGTCACTGTGTTAGCTGAAGGATTTTAGACAATGGCTGTGAAAACAAGGGAGCGTTAAGCCAGTCCGGTGTATTGAAGCAGATACCTTTGTCATAGCATGAGAGTAGATTTACATTCAACATTGTGTTATTTTTTAAAGGTTTCATATTAATGAATTAATTATTCTTTCATTTATATAGCGCCTTTGAAGACACCCACTGTACTTTACAGAACATTATTCATTCCCTTCACACTCCTGTAGCCAGTATTGTGTTTATGTATTGCCCTGGGGTAAACTGATGGAAGTTAGGCTGCCAATCCGCCATGGGCCCCTCCGACCACCACCTAAACTCATACAGACTCTACTTTCTTGCAAGGCAATGTGGGTGAAGAGTCTTGCCTAAACACTATGACTCTTTAGCTTTAAAAACATACCTGGAGATGAGTTTTGTTTCATCCACACATGTTTGCGTAACTTAATTATTAGTCTGTCTACATCGCCAAAGCTCAAAATGGTCTGTTCCACCTTGTGATGTCGCTGTAGTTTTCAACTTAACACTTTTTATCTAAAGTTCACTAGAGATTGATTCCTGATTCAGGAGGCATCTGGAACAGATGTTCAAGCCACCTCAGCTGCTCCTCTCGACATGGAGGAGCAGCGGCTCTTCTCCGAGCTCCTTCCGTGTGACTGTGCTCCTCATCCTATCTCTAAAGGAGCACACAGCCTAATCTTTTCTTTCGGTCACTACCCAAACCTCGTAACCATAGGCGAGGGTAGGAAAGCAGATTAAGAGTGCTGCCTTTTGACTCAGCTTCTTCTTCACCACAACGGTCCAACACAGCGATGCATCACTGCCGATACTGCACTGATCCACCTATCAATCTCATGCTCCGTCATGAACAAGACACCGAAATAGTTGATCTCCAAGGACTCTCCACCTTAAACTTAGATAATTATTCTCTTAAAAATGAATTGCTAAGAGACAATAACACATTAGTCTCGTAGTACATAATATGCCCAAAACAGTGTTCAGAATTCATCATCAATCATTCTTTATCTAAAATGGAGCTCACACAGAAACAAAACATCCTAATGGTATAGTTACAAACGATGCTCCAGAATGAATGAAAAGTATTTAAAAGCTCCTCTACTACACAAAATTGCCTCTTGTAAGCCATGTGAGCCATGTTATAATGTTACCTCATCAAAAACATACCTGGAGTTGTGCTTTGTTTCATTCACACACGTTTGAGTAACTCTTTATTAGTCTGTCTATATATCCAAAGCTCAAAATGCTCTGTTCCATCCTGTGATGTCATGTAGTGGTAGTTTTCAGCTACCTTTTACAGTTGTTCAGTAGAGTCTATTACCACATGACATCACCCCAGGTATGTTTTTGATGAGGAAACAACATTACAACATAGATCAAAAAAGGAGTGTAAAATGGGCCCTTTGAAAGACATTTCCAACTTTTATATTTACCTCAAATGTCTCCGTGGCCCCGAAGGACAGAGGCAGCTGTGGATTCCTCACTCAATCAACTTAAACCTTATGGCTATCTCTTCTTCTGTACTCCCAGTCATTCCTCTCAGCCATAATAACAGCAGCATGTGTGTCTTGGAGACTCTCTGCTGGCGAAGGGAACTGCGTCTGCCATTTTGATGAAAGCACAAGGTGAGACTGTTCCCTCCCCCGTGGCTCTGAAATCTATACGTACACCTTGAGCCTGCTTAACTCACTACTTCAGGTGGGGCTTTGTAATTATTGAAAAACTCATTAAAGACTGAGAGCTTGGATGAATTTTTAATTTTAATATTTGTGGAAGTGTATTGCTCCGAGTGATCCGTGCTCCGCGTGCCAAGACTTGAGCCGGTGGATGAGTACATATTGTAAATTGCTTGGGCTGCCGATCGCTCACAGTGGATGGATGGGAATGCTTGTTGCCTGGCAGGGTGCTGTTTGATTACAAGGTCTCTGCTTCTTAGTAATTGTTTGTGTTCATTCATAACTTATGGATTTAGCATTCACCCTGTCAGCTTTGCATAAGGGTCCTTCTATTCATCAAGCCAACAATGTGATGCAGCACTCCTGGTAATAGATGAGAGGCTTTCTGTCGCGAGCTTGAGCTGCAAATTGAAAAGTCCGGTTAAAACTACGGCTATGAATATGTGTGACTAAATATGGATGGTTTTTGCTTGTTGCTTTGATTCTGGATTATTGATACTTTGCAGCTGGTGTTCATGTTAGACTTTAATCTTGCTTTGTTTTAACATAATCTGACTGTAAAGAACCGATTTAGGTGGAAGTACAACAGGAGAGTCGATTTGTACTATTTAACAAGTCCCTCTAAAAAAACATTGCCGTTACAAGCTAGCTAGTATAACTGTTTTTTGTGGAAAATCAAAACAGCACCATGAATGCTTCATTGATCATAAGCTTCTGTTTGTATTGTAATGTATTGTATCCATTTTGCAATTTTTCTTGAGTTTTCAGACAATTTAAAAAGGTATTTTGCTGTGTCTGCTGTGTGCAATGGTAACAAATGAACATTCCACCATAGACATACATGAATCCTACTCCCCAACGTGGGTGTTAGGCAAACTATGGCAAACTATCAACTGTGAAACATTTGGTGATTATACTTGGGTTTCTTAGTACTTAGA